ATAATTTTCATTCATATACTAAATAATATATATTTAGTTTTACTAAAATTAATTATATATGTAACTAGTATATTTAAGCGACTAAATCTGTTTCGTTAAATTTAAAAATATTAAAATTGCAAAACTTTCAAATCTCAATTGGAAAAAAAAATGCAAAATATTAATAAGTACCGTGCAACAATTTCTCACTTCTAATCAAGACTCGTTGACCTTATAGTTTTCAAAGGCAGTTACGTATTTAACATTTCAACTCAATACTATTAATTAAACTATAAGTTCGCAAAACTAAATTTATATTACTTAAAATTAATCAAATTAAATTTAATTATATTTTTTTTTCAAATTTGTGTAATATTGGTATATATTTTCTTCAGCGTAAATTAACTTGGTTAAAATTGAGTTTTTTATGTTAAAATATATTTCAATTACATGAATTTATTAAAATTTAAAAATAATTCATATTTTTACTAAATGTAAGTCGTATCTTGAAAAATAATTATGGTGTATTGATGTGGTCAATACGATCTCATTCAAAATGTCAATTGTCAAATAATATTGCGTCTAATTCTTTCTAGATGCCGATAAGGTGATAAAAATAATAATACACACTGTACAAAAAATAAAATAAAATAATAATAATATAATAATGATGATAAATGTTAAGAGGAAAGCGAAAGAAAAATAATAATAAAGGTTAATCATTCTAACAAAAATTCGTCCGCTTAATAACTACCATACTCATATTTTATATAAATTGATATATATATATATATATATATATATATATTTATTATGAATGAAATACGTAAATTATTAACTATATCATTTTACATTCAATAAACTTAATTAATTTATTGAAAATACTATTATTTATAAAGTGTTAGACATAATTTGTTTATGGATTTAGTTGATATAAAATGAGGGAGTGTATTTTAAAAAATAAAATATGTTAACTAAAAAGTCAATGATTAAGAATTGTGATAAAATTAAATTTATATAAAATAAAGTTTTAAAATTATTTATAATATTAATTTTTAATTTTTAATTAATGATTATTATTATATTATATTTTCTAAAATACATTCTTTTAACTTTAGAGAAGTAAAATCCATTTTTTATACATAATAAATGTTCAACAAATTTTTATATATCCAATTCAAAAGTTTAGTTTAGTTTTTTATAAATGAAAATAATTAGGGTTTAGACACATTATCAGAATATGCATATTTATATTTGCATTTAAGAAAATATTAACTAGTTTCATGTATATACACATAAAATCTATAATATTCATATCTGTATTTAATATACACCTATACATCTAGATTTAGACACATTGTCAGAGTTTCTATTAAATAAATTATTTTTTTATTAAATGAGTTTTTTTGACTAGTTAGTAAAATAAAAATGCATGCATTAAATTAAAAACTAATTGAAAAAATAATAGAATAAAGAACATAAATTAAAAAATGAAACATCTAAACTTAATTAAAAAAAAAGAATCTTTCTGCTTGCAAAACAACAACGGTTTTATTTATTTATTTATTTTCTTTTTATATACAATATAAAAAAATTACAACTATACGTGTGGAGTTAATTATATAAACTTAAACTCGTTGAATTCGGTTAAGGAAGTTTATTTTAGCATGTGTAATGTATAACTAAAATTTATAATAATTTAAATATAAATAAATATTATATAATTTATATAAACAGATATTTAAAGTATATAAATTATATTTTAAATTTATGATAAATAATTTATATCATAGTATAATATTATTTTTTATTTATTAACAAATTATTTTAAAATTAAATTTTAATTCATAAATAACTATAAAAAAATAAAACTGAATTAAATAAAAAATAATTTAAAAATATTTTCATAAAAAAAATCTTTAAAAACACTCTCATATAAAATAAAAATTCTTATTATAAGATTAATTTTTAATTATGAATACTTCTTTTTTATCATTACCTATGAATATTTCACTCCAACATGGTAATTAAAAGAAAAACTTTATTGAATTCGTAAATATTCTGCTAATTATAAGTAATACTTACAAAAAATCTATTAGGCATAGAACCTGATTCAATAAATTAAAGAGTCATTTAGTGTAATGTGGTTAAATGGTAAAATGTTACCCTTCTAATTTAATTTGTTTACATAAGTTGTAGAACAAATGACATAATTAGCAACCTAAGCTGTTTTGGGGTTTTCCTAATGCTGTCTTTATTGAATATTGAGAGAGAGAAATAATATTTATTAAGGTGGGACATGGTTGATGATGTTAGGTGTTTTGGAAAGTTAAAAAATAGAGATTGGAGAGTGGTAGGAAGGAGAATATATTAATCCTTAGACTTGTAGGATGAGGCTGTACAACCATCATCCCCATCTTCACACTTTAAGGCCATCATAATACCTTCTTCCACATGCTACCCTTTATACGGATTTAGTATAAGATTTTTTTAATGCCGTTATCAATTAAAATAGAGTCTTGTTTCAATAATTCGTGTAGTAAATAAGTGTATTAAAGCTTAATATATATTATGAAAGTAAAATTTTAAAGTTTATTTGACATATATATATATATATATATATAAAGATACCTCTTTTTAGTTTAATATTTCTTAGACATTTAAGGAATGTATTAAATTGAGATTTTTAAAGATTTAATATATAAGATTTTTTTACTTAAAAAAAATATTGGTATTAAAAAATACAGAGATTTCAATTAATTATTTTGATTAATGAATTTTACAAGACTTTTTAGTTGAATTTACATATAATTTATTCATCAATAAATTCATCAAAAATCAACTTTTATCAAAAGATTGAAAAATTTGTTGATTTTATTTTATTCGAACCTTGTCATTTATTTTATTTTTATTAATTTTATTTGTTTTTAAAAATTTACATTGTTCTTTAAAATCTTAAAAAGCTCTTTTGAATCTTGTAAATTCTTAAGATAGAAATCCATTAAAACTCATACCACAATTTCTTGATTAAAGAAATCTTGAAAGTCATTACATTTCTAAAAAAAGTTATTTAAAAAGAATCTTAAAAATCTTTAAATTCTTACAAAATCTTTTTAAATTTACAAGACTTTTTTTATGCTAAAAAATTCTTATGAAATCTCAAATTCTCAATCCAATGCACCTCCCTATATGTACAAAGGATTGTATGTAGAAAAATGCTACTTAAAAAAAATGAAACCATAAGTCAACTGTTTATCAAAAAATTAAAAAATTTATTAATTTTATTTTCTTTATTCAAATCTTGTCATTTAATTTATTTTTCTAATAATTGTATTTTTTTTCTTAAAAAAAATCACATTGTTCTTTGAAATCTAAAAAAAAATCCTTTTAAATCTTATATATTCTTAATATACAAATTCATTAAAATTCATTTTACAAAATCTTGATTAAAAAAGTCTTTTAAAAAAATCTTAAGTGTCATTACATTTTTACATAGTTTTTTAAGAGTTATTAAATTTTTACAAACTTTTAAATTTTACAAGATTTTTTTATGTTAAAAAAGTCTTATGAAATCCCAATTCAATACACTTTTATTAGATTTTTTTTTCAACCATCATATCTCTTAACGTAAAAATAAATAAATAAATAAATAAATAAATAAATAAATATATATATATATATATATAATTATCCACTCTAATAATAATCACTACCTTCTTATTTTGCAATCAATCTCCAATTTTATTTAAAATTATTTACTCTTTTATAATTATATATTATCACTTGATTTACATTCTATAATTTTTATTATTTTTGTTTTTATTTTATATTATTTTTGAATAAAATGTGTCCCAACCATACTAATATATATAATGATATAAAACGTAAAGAAAAAACGCCAAAATTTGGCCTTTTCCCAGGTTCTATAACAATAACATCCAAAGTTTTTTTTATTTTTAATTTGAATTATTATTAGTGTATATTTATTATCTTTTTCTATTTTCTATAGTATGTTATTTTTTCTCTCTTTTTTGTCTTCCTTCTATGCACTCTAAACTTAGTTTTACTGTCATCTTTTTTTAAACCCATAGAAAAATTATAAAAATGCGACGAAGATCGAATTTAATCCTTTTACCTTCTTGTTTTCATCAATACTTTCTCTTTCAACCACCCAACTAATCCTAATGGTCCACTATCACCTTTTCGTCAAAACTTTAATATAATTAATCCCAAAATATAATAGTATTCAGAAGACATGGACCGCTGAAGGGATAAATACAGATGACCCAGAACCACCTCTGGCTGAAAATGAAAGATAATCATTGTTCTTAATTACAGCTACTTCAATATTATTATTAAACAGACCGCTCATTATACTCAATATTTTAAATCTCCTTTTCTCACTTTCAAATTCTCCTAATATTGAAGTGGTTTTAATTGCTCTGTTGATTTTATCAACAGGGGACATATATTTTGAAGTAAAACAAGACCATGGATAAACATGGGTTGCCAAAAGTACTATATTCATCAAAATTATACACATGTCGATGAGATTCATTAACTATTTACTCAATGCACATCGAACTCCTTCGACTTCATTTCAAAATATTTGACACCTCTAAAGTGATAAGAAATTGTGATAGTTTTGTTTCTCATTGCTGCAAACAGCAATTAATATCTAACTATCGCATTTTGCGCCCTTTTCCCTACCATTTTATATGATGTGTTCAAAATAGACAGGTGCAAGCAACATCATTTGCAGTAGGTTTCCGAACATCAAAAGCATCAGTTGCTATTATTAACGCTTAAACCAACAAGAAATATGCTTCACCCTTGATAATCGTGTATGAAAGAAACGAAAAATGAACAAATGTTGAAAAGATTCCAACGCTCTACCTCAGTAGCCCCATTCTTATTGGAAACAAGACAGCAAAAACCACTGCCAAACACATGCAATCATGAATATAGATACATTGATGCAATTAGCTTCAACACATTATAAGGTGCATTTATGTATAGAATTTTCAGGGAAGACTCCTATGTCAGCATCGTGTTCATTTCTTAAATTTTAATGTGTAATGTCTACACAAATTTTTGCACCATCAGAATATACAGTAATACTATTACACAAAATGAACCCAAATCAAGGGGAATAGTTGTGTGTTTACAGAGAGAGAGAAGGGCCCTAAAAATTTATTTCCCGCTAATGTATGATCAAATACTTGTTCCATCCTTATATGCGGACGTTCTAACTTTTGTGCAAGACAAGACTCTTAGTTTGAGTAAACAACTAAAAAACTGAATTGGAGCGTGAAGAAATATTTAAATTTTGAGAAAAATGGTTCCCTCTTGTAAATGAGTATGGAATGGTAATCTGTCTCTCTTGCTAGTTCACTGATAGATGTTTATTCAAAAAAGCTTTAGCCAGATTACTGAAGCTCACACTAACTTCTTCACTAGCTGCATACCTCCAGATGACATCAATAACTTCAGGCTTTAAAATTTCTTCCTTGTTAGATTCGTTACAGATATAATAGAGTGCCCCGATTGCATAATTAACCTATTATCAGATAAATGCATTGTTAATTAACCAAATTGTACTTGAAACTTTCATGGAAATAAATTAACTTTAAAATGTACAGGTCAACGTAAGAAATGTAACTCTGCAACTGCCAGAAGCAGTTTAGAAAATGAGTTATTAGTAATGCGAGTTAGGTAATTATAAGAGTATATGAAAACACGTGTTTCAAATAATTAAACTTTGTATGAAGAATTGCACAATTATTTTTCACATATAAAAAGAAATGGTGATGAAGTAGCAAACAAAGTCATGGTTACATAAACTTAAGGGGGGAAAATGCTGTCAGCAGGTATTTTGAAAATCTGGGTATTCATGGTTTGGCAATCCCTTTGGCCTACAAGCTACATGGTCAGCAATTTAAGAACTAATCAAAATCATGAAGCAACAAAGTGAAACAATGTCACCAAACAAGCTCTTACAGTGTTCCTAACTGGGCTTGATAAACATTGAATTATAAGAGGTATCCCACCAACACTAGTTACAATTGCAGCATTGGCTGGATCTGCACAAAAATTGATTTGTCAATAAGACAGACAATTAAGCAAGCAAAAATAATATCAAAAAAGATAAAGTCACTAGAATTACCAACACACGAATTGCAGATCCCTCCTATACCAAATTCTACAAGCTTTTCATTGGGTTCAGTTAAGCAGTCAATGAAAAGCTCCAAAACGTTAAGCTGCAACATTATGCAAAAGCATTTTAGTTAATCTTGTGCAGTCTATACTCGAAAGAACACTGATGAGGTTATACCTGACGCAAGAAGTTGTAGTTGTAAGGATCATAGGCAAAGTTTGCCAAATTTGCCAAATTCTTCTCTCTAGTTTCTGCAAATAGAAGAAACATCAGCAACCTAGACAGACATGAATATTATTAACCAACTGAAAAAGGTTACCATCCTCAGATGTGTTCTGAAACTCAGTCACCAAATCCTGAATGAAACATTAGCCATCTCAGGTCCTCATAAAAAAATCATCACAATGCATACAATAAAATGGTACATTATCGAATTGCAAATAAAACGTTTTCATTATTATATTATAGTTGAAAATTAGACGGAAAGAGAGAGAAGAAGAAGAAGAAGAACCTGAAGGAATTGTAACCTGTGGGTTCCATATCTCCCTGTTCGTTCTAGTTGCCTCTGGTCATTAGTGAACATGTATGCTGATCTTCTAGTATATCAAGTAAAATTATAAAAGTGAGGAGAAGTTCATCAGAGAAATTTTTATTTATATGGCAGTTTTAGATAAAGAGGACCGGATGTTATCAATATGGACCCCAAATCCAAAATGATTTGGACTTACTAACAGTTTATTAAATTGTGTCTGAGTTGGGATGTGTGTTGGGTTATAAACCCAATGAGGCTCAAATTGATTTTACATATGCAAAATTGTGTATCAATTACCAATTCTACAACTCATAGTTGAATCACTAGTTTCTACAAACAGTAAATGCGGAGTAAGGAGTTTGTAATATTATCTTTATACCACCTCTCACCAATTGACTGCAAATTTTGGAAGGAAAATGTGAATTGTTCTTCAACCAATTTGAATAAGAAACATCAAGTTGACGAGTGTAACAGATATTTATCCAGGATTTATTTATTTCTTTGATTCTTTATAAGATGAGAGAGTTGATGATGGGATGTTGTTATATCATAGAATTTGAATTCCAAACATTAAGAAGCAAAGTTGTGTAAGGAGGAAGGAAAACCGGACGAGGCGCACCTGAAGCACGGAGAGGATCGGCGATTAAGAAAACACGAAGCCACAGAAAGGGAAGATGGTGAAACGGTAACAAAATTTGCGTTATATAGTTGGAAGTGAGTTATAAAACGTAGCGTGAACCCGGACAGTGGCCAAGCGTAGCGGCTCGGCTTCGGCGCCGCCGTGGATGGAGATCCTACGAATCTACAATCCGGATGGAAGAGAAAAAGGGTAGGGATAGATTCGGAAAGACAAAGAAAAAAATATTAAAAAAAATAAAGAGAAAAGATAAATTTGGGTCTATCTCGTTTAGTTTATTTTTTTTAAAAAAGAAAAAAGTATTTAATCTCTTAAACTTAATTCTCTTTATAAATATACATCACAAACAACTTTAAGTGTATTTCAATTAATTCTCACAATTAAATTTTTTTATTAATTAATAAACACCATAAATTTTAATTTTATTATAATTTATCTTTAAATTTTCTCATTTTTACAAATAAATATCTTGATTATAATTTTATCTTAATTTTTTTGGTAAACCTCTTATATTACATTGAGATTAAATTACTAAAATAAAAAATATCAATCATTTATTTATTTTAAATCACACTTATTTATTAATTTTTTGGTACATATATATTTTAGTTTTATTTTCATATATATTAAAACACCATATAATTTAGAAGAAGAAAAAATAAAAATAAACTTTTTTTTATATTTTTTATCATTCTCTTTTTGTATTTCTTCTAAACTCGTATTTTTATTATATTTTAAAAAAAATTTATAACAAAAAAAAAAGATTAGTGAATGATTGATATTCAAGACAAATAATTTAATTCTAAATTGATAATATAAACTTTTTATAAAAATAATAAATTATTAAATGTCAAAATCAATTAAAATAAAATTAAAGTTAAAAGTGTTTATTTTTTTTGCTAGGCAAAATGAAATATATTAAAAGTGAGTACAAGGGGTACTCCAACCCATATACAGTTAACTTAATAAAGTTGAAAGTGTTTTGTAAAAGAAGTAAAGTTTAAAAATTAATTGAAACAAAATTAAAGTTCATGATATCTATTTATAAATTAAATAAAATTTAAGAATTGATTATCGTAAAAAAAAGATAAATTTAAGATAGCTGATTATTCTTTTCTAAAAGAAAAAATTGTATGATATTTGGGTCTCGTTCAGTTTATTTATGAATAGATTGATATTCTCTTTATCATTCTTTCAATATTTTTTTTATTAATTTAGCATTTAATATATACTTTTGTTATGGGACACTACTAGATCCACCTTAATATCATGACTAACACAATTAGGCAAAGCAAATACGTGAGTCCAAAAATTAAGCCTGACCAACCAGTAGCCAACTTTAGTCCAATGTCCCACTCGAGAAAAATAAAATTATTTGGTTAAATTTATTAATTTCCTATTCTACATAAAATTATTAAGTAATGTAAAAAAGCAAAAGTCTAATATACAATGGTACTTAATGTTATAGCATCCATATAAACAGATAGAGAAAGGGTCATAAAAGAATAATTGGTCAATATTATAAATGAGAATTTTAAATTTAGACTTTTATATCATATATTAATGGTCAAAATTGAAAAGAAAACTATAATGACCTTTTATTTAAGGGGTTATGATTCAAATTTATCATTAATTTCTCCATTAGATGAAAAAGTTTTATAGTAATGAAATTAATTACTTTTAGAATAAAAAAGCCCAAACATAAACCGTTATTTTTCAAAATCATTTTTTCAAGCACTCCCCCAATCACAAACACTCGAGTATTTCGAAAGTGGTTTGGCTTTGATTTGATCAATTACTCGTGCACCGCTGCTGCTCCCGGTAATACAGTACTACATAATGCCGATTTTTCCGCCTTACCCTCGATCTAGTATGTTACGGTGGCCCCTTCTAGGTAAAGGAGAGGACAAAACTGGTGATATTTTGCTTTTAAGCCTCAATTATATCGCTTCTCAATACTCATGGCAATGAAAAACGTTATTATACAAAATGGCATGAACGCTAACATAACAGGGGAAGAATAACCCTGCCAATTTCTTTTGTTCTAAGCAGAAACACAAGACAGCAAGCAAATCTCCATACCGAGACATCCTCTCAACAAAAAGTGACTTATTTATCTTTTCCTATCACACTTGGGGAGTAGTAATAATTGAAATAACCCGCGACTGTAAAGGGAATATACAGTCTCACACTTCTAAACTCATTTAGCTTTCTTACAGGTCCTCTGGGCCGTTAATTTCCTGCATATGACGACATTTCAATCCTTAACCCTAGAAATTAGAATGACAAACCCACGGTGACAAATAATATCCAAATATAGTTAAATACCTTGTCTGCAATGACAGCAGCATCCGGAACTTCCAACTTTACATCAGACTTTGCTACGATACTGACTTTCCCCTGTTATTTTTTAAAACAACAGACATCAGAGAGCAAAATAATATTTATTTTTAGAACTCTTTCCATTTGTTGATAGAATTTTAAAAAGATGAAGGCAAAATAAGTTACTGTTAGTCAGAATATAAAACTTTAGGGTTTAGTTATGGCCTGGGTCAGTTTGGATAAATTTAGCTCCTTAAAGTTGTGGTTCATTTAGGTTTTGGTGTCTCTAGTTTTTTTCCTTTCTTGAATATAAGCTCCTATAGTTTCATACAATTAAGCTTTTATCTCAAAATGTTAGACTATAGCCATTAAAAAGAGGATCAGGAATTCAGGATCCCTTTCTATATATAGGGACTAAAACACAAATAATTGAAAAATATAAGCTTTAGTAACCAAAACCTGATAAGGAAGATCATAGGGACTAAAACTCAAAATGTTATAGGACCAAAACCAACAACTAAAACAGTGGAAACTATGGGGACAAAAATTAACTTTTTAAACCATAAAATAATTACCTTATTTTCTTGGTGATATTCCATTTTACTTAAAAAAATTTGAAAATTTCTAGAATTAGATCAAAGAATCTTTTAATAACATTTCAATTTTCTGCGGTTCGAAGATTTTAAATTCATGCAATTGAACATTAGGAAAACAATTGAGCTTGAGTTGTAAAAAAATGGACAAAATTTAGATGTGGTTCTTTTAAGTGCTTTTGGTGCAGTTTCCGATCAATATTGAAATTTCACTTTGTTAATTTGCATAACAAATGTTAGCATTAAAAGTCAACATAGGTTCCCCAAGACAAAATTCTTTTGATTGAAGAACAATATCAAAAAGGAGCCTAAATTACTGCATCTAAGTTTTGTATTAATAAAATACTTTAACATTAATCATAGGCAGGGGAACTTTTACAGAGGTTCCTTGCATGAATCATAGTGGAAACAGTAAGCAATTCTATCCATAAAGTAACCAAATTATATTGGGGGAAGAAATTTAGGATAATGATTTTAGAAATGTTCAGTTCTAAAAGACTAAAGAAGTTTTATATTAGAATTTTGAATCATTAATGTCAGTCTCACACTTAGAATGAAACACAATGTTAAAGAAAAGAAACTAAGGATTAAATCCAATACCTTGAGGACAACACCAGCTCCAAACCATACATCGCCAGCCACTTTTAGACTGTCAAGCTCAACAATACTAGGAATTGACTTGAAGCGGCCCAAGAAGTTGCTAACCTGTGAAGGAGACTAAGAAAATTAGTATTATGGTTACCCTTTAACACAATGTAATAATATAGATCTTAACCTTCTTAAATTCTGGCCCCAATTCAATAGAAGGGTTTTCAGGATTTGCCCTAGCTTTGTTTCGAATGACAAATCCATCTTCCAAAGTGTAGAGATCAGACTGAAAAACAAGACAACAAATTATGTCAAATAGAAGACTCAAATTTTCAAGCAAGATTGAGTGTTTTGTCTCCGAAAAGTTTATAACCTGGACAAGAAGTAAATCTGAAGTTGCCTTCACTGGAAGGAATCGTGATCGAGGAACATTAATCCCAATAGCATTGTCAAAGAACTGTTAAAAAGCATGTGAATATATTAGCAAAAAAATAAAGTTGCATTGAAAGAACATTAATATGTCAATAGACATTGAATACCCTTATTGCTGCACCAGCTGCAGTTTCCAGCTGAAGAACTTTTACTCCATCAACTTCCTACAAATCCAAAAATTCTGTCAGCAATTTTCCAACCGAATATCAATTGTCAAACAACTAGCCTACAATAAAGCATCCTATAAAAGGAAAGTTATGCTATCAATTGAAAAATAACCAATTTGAACCTTTGGATTGGGAATAATCTCCATCTTAAGGGCATCAGCTTCAACAAGCCTTTTAACTGCTTTTAAGTTCACCCACCTGTAGATTATTGTCAAACACTTCTGCATGAATATATAATCTAAAACAATAAGGTCACTAACCAGAAAAACTTACAAATTGTTTGTGTTGAAAATTTTGAACTTCTCTATTGACTTGAATTCATTGACCTGCATTAAAAACAGCATTACATTGAATGGGGGATATTTGCCAAATCTCTTCTCTAGTCACCAACAAAAATAAGCTTGACATCATTATTTACAACATGTTTCAGCTACCATAAATTGTGTCAAAAGAATTGCAAAATCATGTATTTGTCACTTACCTTTATATACATTATCATATCATCAATGTGAATATGGGATAAATTTTGATAAAATGTTTGTTTAACAGTTCATAATTGCAGTTCACAACTTCAGATAATCAAAAGTAAGTGCTTGTAAAGTAAAAGGATGTGCAATTGCGTTGATATATGAACTCCTTATATCTATCAATTTACCATACTTTACATAACACAAGTTACCAAAGTAACAGCTGCCAGTGTATATTTCCATAAAATAACTGGTGTATCATTTTTAGCCTTCATCAAACACTTTCCAGAAAGGCAATCTTGTGAGACTTCAATGAAAATGAGAAAAAGAATCATGATTGAGAAAAATTAATATATATATATATATATATATATATTCACTTTCTTATTTAGCATCAGTTCAGCTTAGTAATCCTTGATTAGACCACAAAATAATTAAATCAAAGAAGCCAATCCCATCTCAGTGAATGTATTGATGCTTAATCACTACCCTTATTCTTCATAGCATTATATTTACATATAATAACTAAATAATTTATTTAAAACAACTGCCTATGCCGGGGAGAGGGCTACAGTCCAAGAATAAGAGACAGATTTAGTGGCTTACATGTTCATCTGGGACTTGGGCAATTTCCAGGAGCTGCATTAGTGAATCAAAGATAAGCGTCACTCAATAGCAATATTCTTATGATTTCAATTCATTTTTAATTTTCTTATTTCTTTCAAGGGGCAGAAACCAAAGAGGGAAATTAAAATCACAGAAATAATATATTACACGGAACTGCATAAGCAAGTTTAGAGAGAGACTGCAAAATTTTTGTATAACTAGAGTCTGAATTAATCAGATAAGACCTTGTTTGTAAAGAAATAAAAATGGCAAAATTACATGCCTGAACCCTTCCTTCGTAAGAAATCAAAGTGCCACCCTTAACATCAGCCAATGTTTTGGGAGTCACCTGCATAGCAAACACACACAAAAAATACATTGAAATGATTTGTGAAGTCTGAAAATAAAAGTTACATGATAACGACCATCTTTCCTTACCTCCATACAGTATTCATTCTTGTTCTCGATCAAATGATTTAAGATTTCTACATCAATGAGTCAAGTACACAGATGGCACTAAAGACATACTTTTAATGTATATATAATAATGAGCATTGCAGCCAAAAATGATTATTAAAAAAAAAAGAAGATAAAGAACCAATGAAAGTTAAATAAGGATACTCAAGTCAACTATAGCTCCCAAGTTATCTGAATTGGCAACAAATACATACTCTTTACCCTGTAAGAACAAAAGGAAAATGAAAAATATAGTGATGACAATGATTACGAAAAATAATAAACACAGTCGAACTAGAAACAAGTTGAGCTCTAGGATCAACCTGTGACAATAGTGCATCAAGTTTGCCACTGTTTGATAATGATGGGAAGACATCACCATGGCCAGGAGGGTACCTATGCATAAGAATTACTATAAGCCAAACTCTCAACTTTATTAGCAGATAAGCTCAACGTTAGCTTCCTATCTTGAACATTTTCCATTTTAAAAAAAAAACATAACACATAGGTATCACTTCCTATACAACCAAATATGATATTAATTAGGTCTAAGGCATATTAACATGATTACTTTTAAATGACATACAACATTTGTTAAACTACACGACTAATTGTATCCTACTGTATGTAATCAGGGTTACCCTAGCATACCTCGCTTCATGGCAAACATGAATATGCATTATGCTGGCATCAAAAAGTTAGAGGAATACCAAATAAAGCCTTTACAAAGTACCGATATTCCTCCAAGCAAGAAAATTCAATTACATCCAGACCAATTATCTTCCAGATGGCTGATATATGGGGTTTATGTGCTGGATACAAGTGATGCATACCAGAAACAATAAACTCAGTTGGATGAACCTCAAAAGGTGCATAATTGCTAATGAGAGGAGTTCAGTCAGCGGCAATAATGTGTTAATTATTTAAAAGGCAGAGAAATAAAGAGGATCTAACAAGTTAGTTTTCTACACATAACTGTCATCTTGGAGTTTCTAATACATAACTGATTTCCTAAGCAGTTTATTTTCTACATATAACTGCCCCTAACTCTCAGTTCCTATCATTAATTGTTGAGATTGGAATGAAGATTAAATTGCTCCTAAGAATTTAGCCAACAAGATAAAAATTTAAAGGAGATATTTAAGTTACTTAAAAAAGCTTTGATTTATGGGCATAAACCTTTGAATAATAATTTTCAATAAATAATATTAAGCCTTTTTCTTCTTGTTTGTACCAGAGTTATATGAATTTATCCCAAGGTTCCTTCTAGCAGTGATGCCTCTCCAGAAAGAGAGGTTTTACAATAGTTTGCTGTTTTCATAATAAATCAACTCCTTTAACACTTGGAGACAAAAATCACAAGGGTGGGGAGAACAGAACATAAGCAAGCAATCCCATCAAAATATGAACAGTGAAAAATCCTGTGTTAAGCCACATACTTGAAAAAAGAATATAGTTGCAGTGACAACCAGAGCACTGTGCAAACATTAAGTACAAATCCATTAAATAGGACACGTGATAGGTCAAGAAATATGAAAAAACATTCAGCACCAAAGTAATTTGCATGTCAAAAATGGCACTCTAATGCATGTAGTCCAACTAATCTAAATGATGTTAGGCACTCTACAGATAAAACTTATTTGCTTGAATATTTTTATAACTTAGATTTACAACTAAATTATCCATGTAGGCGTGTACTATTTTATCAGTGGGAGTGCTAGTTCAAAAAAGATAGAAGGAAGACACAAATCTAATGGAAGTTGTGAAATCAGTGCAATAAAATAGTCGAATATAAAATACAAAGATGAGTCATACCATCCGTCCTTGCCAGTGTGCCCTTTGGAAGGCAGTGGCAAAAAGTCCTCAACAACCAATCGAGGATACTGGCTCTGCATAATTAGAGTAGTACAACAAAATATCAAAACAAAAAATACATGGAATGGAAGTCCAGAAAATCCATATACAGTAGAACAAGAAATCAGAGTTACAAACCTGGTTAAAAGTATGAATCTCAATATTCGAGTTTTGGTACTTTTCAATAATCTACAAGCAGTGAAAATGTTAGTTTACACGCAAATTCAGATTATGATTCAACTCAGCAGAGAGGATAAAAAATAAAAGACAAGTACCTTTTGAGTGTCATCATGAGTGTTGAATGAATTCATCAAAAGCAAAGGAACATTGCTTCCATATTTGGAATTGAGATTCTACAAAATGTAAGCTATCAGCGGAAAGTCCATATGAACATGGGGGAAAAATATAAAAACCAAGCAAATGAAGGACCAGAAAATAACCTCAATTTGGATGACAATTAGATCTAGAAATGTCAACCCATCACGAACTTCAATGACAGATCTGCATTTCGTTTACACGCCAATTAAGACTTGAATACAGATACAGCTCGTGAAAAATGATGATTTAAGAAAATAATCCTTCAGGAAATTTTTTATCCCAGCACAGGCCGTCAAATTACTTTTCAATAAGTTGAAAAGTAGTTTACATTTTTTTTTCTTTTCTAAAAGGTGGCACACATATTTGCTTTCAAACAAAATGACATTCACAGTACACACCTACATCTACGTGCATTGACCAAATATATCTTTCCGATCATAATAAAGTAAGAAAAACTATAGATCAACAATCAATAAAAATCATACGTAAGATCTCAATTCTCAATCCTAAATCTCGATTTAAATTTTGTGCCATCTATAACAAAGAATAATATGTCCAATTAGGCATAGGCATACTTTGGACCAGTGCAACCCATAGTTGTTCCCAAGCCTCCATTTAGCTTCAACACCACAAGCTTGTCCAATAGATTCTTCACCTCTGCAGAACCTGCACCGATCTCGTTTCGGTCAACAACAGCGAACCCTATTCAAAGCATAAAATCGACCAAAGCAAACAGAACGCGATGATTCATTACCATCAGGAGTTGGCGCCAAAGTATCGTAAGGCACAACCACTTCATCAGTAGGCGTCTGGATCTTGCTCCATTCAACATGCTGCGCTTCGCCACTGCAACACATTCGAACCGACAAAGCAAATCAGAAAACGATAATAATAATAAAGATTCGGCGAGATCAACAATAATGCGGAAGAGGTAAGGTTGAGTCAGAGTGATTCACCTGAGATAGCGAGAGACGAGGTTGATGAATCCGCTCTTCTCATTCTCACTGCAACGAATAAGACGAATCAGACTCCGATTCGCAAGATCCTGTGGCAACGAAAAAAAAAAGATCGAAGGGAATGTGGACCTGATTTCGTTCAATCCGGCAACGGCGGATTTGAGAGCGGGGAGTTTGTCGGCGGCGGTGGCCATGGCGGAGGAAGGAGGAAGCGAGGGTCACGTGACACGTGTGCGGAGAGAAGAGAGAAGAGAGAAGAGAGAAGAGAGGGAAGATAGAGAGAGTGTGTGAAGGTGGTGGGGATAAAAGAATAGAAGAGAGGAGAGGGTGTGGTGGTGCTTTGAGAAATTGACACGCTAACAAAACGCCAATGCAGAACAGAATATGCTTGCATTGCACCCGAATATGTAGATATCAGGGGACCTCATCACTCATGCTCATGCCTCTCGTCCAATCCGAGAAAAAGACTCGCGCGTTTCTCACGCAACCTCAAGGTAAGAAAATTCCTGCTTTCAGCCCCTTGCTTTCTATTTTTACTCCACTTCTCAGTTCTCACCGTTGACGACACATTTTACTTTCTTTAATGCCCTCTGCCCTCTATTCGTGTTAGATAACACATTTTCGTTTAGTTTAGTAATTCCATTATTTATTAGTCTAATCAACATCTAATAAATATCTTTCAATGCCCTTTTATTTATTATTTAATTTCTCTTACTTTTATCCTACCTTCTTTTCGTAATAACCATAAATATGTGATTTTTTTTAATAGGATTTTACAAAAATAAGACGTTGTCTCAATAAATATATTATTTTTAATTATAATAATTAAATAATTTATGATAATGTAAATTAAAAAAATTAATTACTATTACATTAAAAAGTAAAAAAATATATTTTATAATATTTTTTTAAATATTAAAATTACACTTATCGTAAGACAGAAGAAGTGATATTTAATTATTTAATTTTATGTTATTGAGAAAATGAGCTAATTTAATTAATAATATTACCTATAGTCTTTTTTTTTTATAATATTACCTATAGTCTTAATTATAAGTAATAAATTAAACCTTTTTTTAATTAAAATAATAATCATTATTTTAAAAATTATTTAAAGTTAAATTTTTTTTATACTCTTCATTTATTATTAACTTTATTTTTTATGCATTAACTTATAACTAATATTAAATATAATAATCTCTTAATCACTTAAAATAAATGTTATATTTGAAATAAATATTGAATTTATACTAAAATTGATTGAAAATAATTATATTAATTATTTTTTTTAATCTCGATAATTTATCTTATGATACTTATAATTAAAATGTTATATTTTTCTTAACTTTTTAAACTATTCTTAATGTATAATCTATAATTTATAACAAAAAGAATAGATAATTTTTTTTATGTACGCAATTTATATCCAATTTTATCCCTTCCCTATTTTTTCAGAAATCATTATTTTTTATTCTTTCATATAAATTTCACACCACAAGCGACAAAAGAAAAATACTCAACTCTCTTTTACATATAAGATTATTTCACTGTTTTTTTTTATACAGACTTCATCATTTTTATTTTTTAGATAATATATAAACAAAATATATAGAGACACTTAGTGTCTCTGTACCTCTGATATTAATAAAAATCTTATTTTATTAACTAATTATTGAATTAAAAAAAATATGTTACTTAAGAATGTTTTTATAAAAAAATAATTAATATAATCCGAGTTTATATATCACATTATTTAATAATTTTCATTTATTAATATCATACTTAAGTTTTAGAGATTTATTAACAATTTTTAAAAATTAGTTTCAAATGTCACTGGTCTCTCTTCTTAAATTTCTAAATATAGAAGTTAATTCTCCTGTTATGTAATAATAGACATGAAATTTAAAATTCTCCTGTTTCAAATTGAGGTTGTGATCTAATTCGTACAATGAGTTATCTCAACATAAGGTATTGTCTCATCCTAAGTATTGTATTTGTATCATAAGACTTGCTTCGAGACATAGGTTTGATCTGATCTTTCTATAACCATTTTCGTATTTTTAATATAATATTTGGCAAATAAAAATTATGTTTAGCTAACATAAATCAATTATTTATTAATTTTGAGATAATATGCAGCCTATATTAAAAAAAATACATGATGCTCAATATATGTATTATAATTACTAACAAATTATATATTTAGTCAAAATAAAATTAACATGTTATTGTATCAAGAGAAAGTAATATTATTTTATGATAGGTCATGAATTTCATATAAGTGTATAATTTAATTACCTTATTTCACCTACAAATTATAATTATAAGATAATAAACATTTTTATATACATTTTAGTTTTAATTTTATGCCTAAAAGGTTAAAACTATTCCTTTATAAATAACTTCTTTTAAATAAAAATATTATCTCACTCACAATCTGCACATTTCAATGACTATCTCACTCATTTATTTTATAAAAAAAAAAATTAAAGGAGAGACACACTTATTCGAATAATTATTTATTTCTTTATTTTATTTATTTATTAAAATACTAAAAGAGACATAGAGTGTCTTTTCTACTAGTATTCTTATAAATATAAAGTCATTATATTAAAAAAAAGTATTCATTACATGTCATCACGGTAATAAATCATTACTAACTTGGCATCAAAATGTTTTAATAGTTAGCTCTTACGGTATCTGGACCATGCTAAAATATTATTGTACCACCATACGAAGATATTAAATTTAATTCAGTGCATGTGGAAGCTCATCTAACTCTACTTCAATCACTATCCGGATGAAGTTAACATTTTCATCTTTAATACAACTTCCAATTCTTGTGTGTGTGTGTGATCAGGTATGTGGAATTTTCAAAAGGACACATTAGAAATGAGATTCAAACTAATTGTCACACTAATAAAATAGACTAACGAATTAATCATGTTATGTGTGGAAGTGTTTTCAATTTTCAAATTTTAAATTTCAAATTTTTATTATGTTTGTATTAATTTTGTCTGGCTTTTCCCATAATAAACAAAAGATTAATTCCTTGAGATAATTAGATGGATTAGAAAATAATTAAAGAAAGAATTAGATGCAAAAGTAAACGAAGAAAGATAAAATAATCTATATATTAACGGTGTAAAAGTTTTTTATATTATAATCTACCAATGAACTATTATGTATCTAAATTAGTTGACTTTTAAAAATTTATATTTTTAATAATTTATAATTAGTTAATGGTATAAATCTTTTTTATACTTACAATACCTAACAATTAAACTAATGAGATAACTAATTTTGTCTCTTCTACTATTGCATTTAAGAGATTAATTTATTTTAAGATAATTAGATGCAAAAGTAAAAGTATATATATATATATATATATAGAAATATAGGTTATATGTTGAGATACCTCACCAATTTATATAAGTCTATTTATTTTGACTTTTGAAATATTATCATCAACAATCCGATAATTTATTATGATTTATAGTTCAATTACTTGTAGTAAAAAACATGCATATCATTATTTAAGGTTAACATACAAGTAATATTTAAATATACATCTGATAATATATTTTTGTGTGTAAAAATCTCATCAATAACTATATTAATAAAAGAAATTCATCCATAGGACTACAACTATAACTATACAATATATATACAATATATATATATATATATGTATATATATATATATATATATATAAAGACTCATAATAATCTAGCATTGAAATGTAAACATAAGTTATTGGTCAAGTAACACTACGATATAATTATCAAAAGTAGTACCAAACTACATCATCATCCAGTATGACTTTAAACTCAACCTCTTCCTCTAGCATATATCTCTATCATGCTCTCATACTAAGTATAATCATTATAGTTTAACCACAAGAAAGTATGTAAGGGTAAGTTAATATTCAAAAGATAACCAACATATCATGTATAGAAGTAAAATACATTTATACTTCCAACATTAACATATAAACCACATAACACAATTTAATCATGGTTTTCAACTTTGGCAACACAACAACAACACATCAACTTACATCACAATAATGCAACACAACTCAATCAACTCATTGTAACACCCTAATTTTATAAAATTATATTAATATTACGTAGTATTTATTTTAATGTTTTAATGTGTTCATTAGAAGAATTTTCAATATTATTTAGCTATTTGATATGAACTTTATTTTTTATATAAAAGATGTGTTATTTTTACTAAAAAGGAGAAGTATATTTTATATTATTTATTTATTTTATGTGACCTCTATTTTAATATAAGACATGACTTTTAATTAATATTTGGATTATTTGCTTTAAGACTATTTTTATGAAAATATATTTTTATCAAGAATTATATTCATGTTATTTTTTTAAAAGGAGGAAATATGTTTAATTATTTTAATTATTTCATGAGATGGTCAGGAGGGACGTAGTGGTCTTTTGCTAAAAATTATTATTATTATTATTTAAGAAAGAAGGTTGTCAGGAGTTATTTTCACGCTTCTCACTTTATCCTTCTTTTCTACGCGTGTGCTCTGAAGACTCAAGAGAAGCATGAGAAGGAGGTCACTGGAGAATCGTACGCGCTTTGTCTTCTACTCATCAAGGTAAGGGGGGAGTGAAAAACCTCACTCGGATGTGTGGGAATAACTGTTGGATAGCAAGATTGGCCCACAATCCCTTATCTGATGTATGCCTATAGGAACAAGCACTTTATGAAACTTTTATGTTTTGCTTTTTGATTGTTCTATTGTGTTCCTTGTGTGATACTGAGAGTGAATATGTATTCAGTTTCAATAATAGATAAGTTTTGATATGGATTAGAGTGTTCTATGGGTTCTTGCAGAAAACTCTGTGAGAAACAAATAAATTTTGAATGTTTTCTGTTTTGGCTTCTAAGTTTTATGTTGTGTTCTCTGATGATTATTGAGCACGAATGTATGTTTAATTTCGAGTTTGGATATGTTTTGATATGGATTAGAGTGCCTTATGGATTCACTCTATGAGAAACAGACAAATTTTGAATGTTTTATGTTTTGGCTTCTGAGTTTTCTATTGTGTTCCCTGATGATTACTAAGCATGAATGTGTGTTTAATTTTGAGTTTGAATATGTTTTGATAGGGATTGGAGTGCTTTATGGGTTCCTACGGGAAACCCTACGAGAAACAGGCAAAATATGAGTGTTTTCTGTTTTGATATTTGAGTTTTCTATTGTGTTCCTTAATGTTTGTTGAGTGTGAATATGTGTTTAATTTCAAAAATAGACAAATTTTGATATGAATTATAGTGTTTTGTGGGTTCTTGTGGGAAACCCTATGAAGTGAAATGTTGAGTTAATGAAATAGTGAATGTGTAACATATATC